GCCTTATCAGCACTGCCTCCACATGGACAAACAGGTTAGTCACATGCAAAAGAGGGCCATGCTTAACAATAGGCTTGATTAGCTCTATTGTTCATAGAGGGTCATGTGACCCATCACCTGACTTATTGGTTTGGATGCTGTGGTTCTTAGGTGTCGTGTCATGTGTATGTAGTGAATGCAGGCGGGGCTTAAAGTCCCCTTGTTTTTGTTTTTTCCCTCTTTGTGTTGGTATCATTGGGGCCCTGATTCACACCTTTTGCTCACAGGGGGCGGAGTCATACTTGCAATAACAGCGTTGTAGGAGGACAACTGGACACGAAGGCCTCCACCTCTGTTTAATGGTGGACGGTTTTCCTTCACAAAGATGGCTTCCTTTACTCCTCTCTCAAACCATAACGTCCCAGTGGCTTTCAAACCCCAAAACACGCTGCAACAAAGATTAGTTCACCCCAAATATCCAGCTCCCCGGCAAAAACAGAGTAATGTAATGTATGCTGTTAAGTGTAGGCATGGGTACCTTTGGCATTTGAATTGATTCGGTACCAATATCCGGTACCTGGGAATCGGTACCGGTACTTAATGGTACCAATTTTCGGTTCTTTATGTTTTTGTTTTTTTAACAATAAACTTTTATTTTTTTAAACGTATTTCACAATATATAAAATTAACAAATATCAAGACAACATCCAACTCTTTGTATTGTAACATCAGCTGTGTAACTTATTTCTTTAAGGTGAAAAACTGTTGAAAACAACAAGACTGTTTTGTCTTATTGCACAAATTAAAATCCAGCTCCACGTGTTTCTATTGATGTCATTTCCCCACTAGAAAACTGTGTGATGGAGGTCCATGGAAGGCAAATAAGTTTAGATCAAATAAGTAAAAGACGATGGAGTTAAAATAAATAAAAGGTTTTGAAGCTACATTTCGAACATCCAAAACGAGCCCAACACTTCAAGTTAGCTGTTTCTTCTCTTTCAGATCAGACGCGTTTGGACTGTCAGGAAGCACCTCTGTTGTTTTCCTCTGCTGGTCTCTGTTTAATGGTGGGTGAAATAAAGAAAGTGGCGGTATTTTATTTACTTTGAGCAAGTGAACGTCATGTTCACAAGATAATGAATCCGCCAGATAATTCAGAGGCGGTCTGTTGGGCGACTTTTACTCCAGGAGCTGCGCGCTGTGAGGCTCGCTTAAAGCGAGTCGCTTTCAAGCTACGTTCTGACTGAGCTCTGTTTACCAGCGGCTGCTGACGTCATTACGCTCTTGCGCGATGCTGCGTTCAGGACAAGCATGGAAAACTCACCACTCTTAAGCCAATACGGTCGCAATGATGTGTTTAGGTACCGAAACATGGTACAGTTTAATGTTACGTGAATAGATACTCGGTAGTACCGACAGAATTCGGTCTGTACTTAAAAAAGTATTGAATTCGGTACCCATCCCTAGTTAAGAGTCAGGAGGACTGTGATCAGTCAAACATTGGGGAAACAAAACAGCCACTGTTCAAAAGAATGAGCCAACACAGACGAACTACTTTGGCAGGTCAGGAC